AAAATAACAAATAGCCGAATCGTCCGCTCGCATTTCCAGTGCAGTGACTGTATTTGTTTTTTTAAAATTCTATTTTAAAAAAATACTTATGCTCAATGTATTCGTTTTCCCGCCTTTCAGTAACTTATTTCTACAAACATATTGATATCATTTCCTTGCATTTGAATAAGCAAGCTACGCTTGACTCGTGCTTCTAATTCGTACTCGTCGAGTATTTTTTTTACTGAACTGATAGTTGACAGTAATGTACAAATTTAAGCTCAACGTCACTAAATTTCACATTTTGTCACCTAATTCCTTTCTAAGGTTCGTGCACTTAATAGAATAGAATAGAATAGAATAGAATCGTTTATTTCATGTTATCAATGTCACAATATTACAATTGGAAATACAATGTCAAGGGATAACTATGATCGTCAGTAATAAAATTATAATAATAATAATGAATATAAAATAAAGTAGTATAACTACTGCTTGTCGAATAAAATAAAATTAAAATTGTTTCAAAAGAAACTCATCGACACTGTACAATTCAATATCCAATAAAAGGTTTTTTAGTCGGGTACAAAACGTTGCATCGTTTCTAACACTTTTCAGGTCTGTGGGTAGATGTTCGTAGAATCGGGGACCTATTACCCGCGGATTTCTAGTTGCAAGTTCGGTACGGTGGGCAACGGATTTTAGTGTTCCCGCGTTTCGTAACGCTCGGCCTCCGCCCGTACGTCGCTCATAAGTAGCCAAGTTTTGACGCGCATAAACTATTATATCATAAATATATTGTGAGTACATGGTCATTATATTGTATTTCTTAAAAAGGTTTCTGCAGGTCTGACCCTTTTTTATGCCTACTATTGTTCTTAGTGCACGTTTTTGAAGAATAAATACCCTAATCGACTCAGTTGAATTACCCCACAGTGTGATGCCATAAGACATCAACGAATGAAAATACGCATAATACGTCTGCCTCAATACCACATTGGAGACAAGAGGACGCAGTTTCCTCAGTGCGTATGCAGCACTTCCAAGTTTTTGACATAGAGTTTGTATATGTGACTTCCAGTTCCAATTTGAGTCTAGCGTTAAACCCAAGAATTTACAGGTGTTACATAATGGAACAATGGAGGTGATAATTGGCTTTGTTATAGAATTTCTTCCTGAGAACAACATAAGGTTTGACTTCGATTCGTTAAGAATAAGTCCATTCGCAGAGAACCACTCACACAGCTGCTCATACGTGCAGGCTAATTTTTTCTTCCAACTCGTTGTAGGTTTTAGCACACACTATAACGGTTGTATCGTCCGCAAATAGAACCACAAGACCCCCTGATATAATGTATGGCAGATCATTGATGAATGCCAGGAATAGTGTATTACCTAGGGCAGATCCCTGTGGGATGCCAATGGTGACGTCACCAGCCGCTGACCTAGTTGTTGTACCGTTTGTACTGACCTGAACCGTTTGCCGTCTGTTTGATAAAAAAGACTTTAATAGGTTATGGGCGACTCCGTTGACGCCATACACAGCTAGCTTTTGAATTAATAAATCATTTTCAATTACATCGAACGCCTTTGTTAGGTCACAAAAAATGCCTGCAGTTTTATACTTATCATCTATACTGGTAATAATAGAATCTACTATATTTTGTGCTGCAACTACGGTGGATTTACCTTTCCTATAAGCATATTGTCTATCTGATAACAAATCGTTCATTTCGAAATGATCCATAATACTTGTTGATATAATAGATTCTATTATTTTTGATATGTTCGGAACTATGGTTATCGGTCTGTGGCTTTCAACATGGGTCACGTCCCCCTTCCCCTTAAACACTGGACATACACGAGTACTTTTTAAAATATCAGGATATATACCTTCTCTAAACATTTCATTTATTAAAATAACGAGTATGTCTCCAATCACTGGCCACACCGACATTAATATATTTATAGATATATCGTATATGTCCAGCGTTTTTGACGTATGCCACATACCCCTCACTACCCCCTCCAACGAGTCACGAGTGACAGTTGGAAGGCTGTACTGAGGAACATCGCATTCACCCACGCATTTTCTTAAAAATGACATTGATTTTTCTTTATTATTGTGTAGATGTAATTTTGAAGTTATTGTAAGAAAATAATCATTGAAGTAGTCAGGTATCATGTCTACAGGCACAATGTCTCCCTTGTGAGTCAGTCGAACGTTTTGTTGGTGATTCCTAGTTGAAACCTCATCGTTCACAATCTGCCACATTACCTTACTCGAGTTTTTAGTAGACATCATCTTATTATCATTAAATAGACGACGATCACGCAAACTCATAGATTTTATTAAATTTGAATGATGTTGAAGACATTTATTTAAAACATTATCATGTGGAAATTGGTGTTTCATTGAGCAGAAATTATTATACATTGCAATGTGGTGGTTAAGTTCTTCACTCACCCATGGAATAGTATTCCTCTTTAAAGATATTTTTTTTAACTGGAAAATGAATATTAATATAATAAGTTAATATTCTTATCAATGAACTAAATTTTTCATTAATATTAATATCAGTCACATGAATGAAACTCCAATCATAATTATAAATGTCCATATAAAATAAATTAATAGACTCCTCTGCAAAGATACGTCGATGTATAAATTTTTTTTTGTATAATTTGTATAAGTTTTACCAGTAATAGAACGTACATTTTGGTGTAAGATCGTTATGTTCGATTTGTGTCTCGGTTTTGAGGTTATCTCTGATCGTGCCGCGCGTGTGTTTTTCTTAAGTTTTTTGGAGTGATCGTATTGTACTTTCTAATTGATACTCCGGCGGGCCATAATCCAGGATCTCGTATAGATTGGACTTTGTTGGCTGGCACCTCTAATTTAAAGGACGCGTACTCTCCGCGTGTCGGCAGCCACTCACAGCATACTCCACTAATTCGCAGCCGAGATTGTAGATGCTGCTTTATATCTTCGGATGTGGTGTCGACGCTAAAATTGAATAAGTGTAGCGTACCAATGCGTGGTGGTGCCGCTCGCAAGCCTCCTAACACCGCGACCGGTTCAATTGTCTTTTTGTTGAGAGGTCTAGTGGTGTTAATAAGATGAACCTCTCTGGTGTCAGGGGTTGATGTATGTGGAGTTGATATATTATGTGACTTGTGGTTTGCAGTGGAGTGGTTGTGATTGGTTTTGTCAGGCGTTTGCTGAATTATAGTAATTCCGTGAGGGCCGGAATCATCTAGGGTCAGTGAAACACTAAGTCTCTGTGGAATACTGGACATGATGTTTGTGACAGTGGAAGTGTGTTGCTGCTGTATTGTGCTACAGTCATGTGAGGTAATTGACTTGATTTTACGCTTGTTTTTGCGTCTGTTGGTAGTCGTGTCGGTTGAGATTTTCAAACTGTCAATTTTTGTCAATAATTTTGATAATTTTTCATCTTGTTTTGCTATGTATGTGTTTTGAGTTTTAATAGTGTCATAGCATAGATCTAATTTGATATTCAAATTATTGACTTTTACTTCCAAATTTGAAATAACTTCTACTAACCTGTCAAGGGCTGCTTTCGATGGTGGAGCCATTGTTAGTTGATTTTTTCACGTATTTCACAAACACTGAATAATTTTGTCACAGATTTAAATATTATTTAAGGTTTAATAAACTTTCGAATGTTTAAACAATTTAAAACAATTAAAATACGCGGAGCGTTCAAATTTGGCAGTTTATTGCAGTGGCGCCACTCGCGGACTTAAACTTCATCATGGGAGCTTAAATTTTATTTTTATGTGTCCTTATCTCCAGTCCGAAACGAGAGAGTAGGTGCGCTGTTATATTCTTAGAACACGGTGTCGACTTGGTCCCGGCACCAACACATTAGAATATCAGTGTATAGGAAAAATTGGACTATTATTTTCCAAATCACTAACTTTTACTAAAAGACTTAACCTCAAAATTGGAACAGTTAGACAAAACGTTGAGGAAAATTGGGAATGTTAAAACAATAAATGGCACAAATGTTTCACATATAAAATGGAATAAATAACTTGGAACTGGTTTTGCGAAAAGCATTGAAGAATAGTAGAATTATCATGAAAAGACCAACAAGAGATTTAGACAAATACTAGTAAGGTTTACTAAAATGACTGCTCTGAGGGCAGAGCTGTACTCAAAAGGTTTCAAAGGTTTAATTTAGAACGCGACTTGAATAAACGTTTCGCAAAAACCTTTACTTCTTTGGGCTCTACGGAATTGACGACATTTCAATGCTCTCAGATTTAATTGCTAGGTACAGATAGCGATTGGATATACCTTGGGTATAGGTGTATACCTCGCAATGGTTTTCGAAAGTGCTACGTGAGGCGCACTATAAGTTTCCGGAATGAATAAGAAAAAAATAGTATTAATGGTCAGAAATGAATTTATTGTTTCTCAAAATATTCTCCGTTAGCGTTAATGCACTTTTTCATACAAATGAACCAATTTTGAAAACATTTATGCCACTCCTCCGTGACAATCTCTGAAACATATTTTTCATACTCTTCAACAGCCTCTTCAGACGATGAAAATCGTTGACCGCGTAACTGATTCTTAATTTTTGTAAATAAATAAAAGTCACAAGATGCCAGGTAGAGACTGTACGTGACATGGCTCATAAGGTCAACGTTGTTCACCTTCAAAAATTCATTTGTCTGTCTGGCCGTGTGAGAACTGGCAGTATCGTGGTGCAAGATGATATGGCGTTTACGGTTATGTTTACGGAGTTTGTCAATAACTTCCGGCAAACAAACGGTCGTGTACCAATCACTATTCACGATACAACGATTCTCCAAAGCAACAGCTACGTGTCCAGCTTTATTAAAAAGAGATTTTACACGCGAGAACACTTTGCACGCGCTTACTTTGGTTGGTTTTGGCTCATCTCGAAAGATCCATACGCTCGATTGCTGCTTTGTTTTGGGATCGTAACTATAAATCCATGTTTCGTCACCTGTTACTATGTCCCACACCAAATTTGACGCCCCTTCGTTGAATCTGGTAAGCATGGTATTGCACCAAGTGAAGCGATCCGTTTATTGAGCCTCAGTCAAATTGCGTGGGTTCCACCGAAAGCACAGCTTTTTCACACCCAAATGTTTGTGTAGTATTGATTGTATTTGACTCATGGCTATGCCTAACCGCTCACGCGATACATGCAGCCGTAGACGCATACCACACCTAGAGGTGCCGGTCGGTGTTTATTTATTGAAAACATACCGTAAGTAGCATTTTTTAAGTTTACCCTGAATATAAATGTTTATAAACTATACTTTAAGGAGTAATTTCATGGTAAACGTTACAACAACTCGAAAGGAGTATTATCATATTTATCCAAGTACACCAAAAATGTCATTAGTGCTTTTTAAGTGCAGGATTTGCGGTGTATTACTGCATTTTATTTGAGAATTTTTTGTTGGTAGTACGGAGGGTATTTATTTAGCAATGCAGAATAATAATTTTTATTTATAAAAACTTGTATTTAAACTGAATGCTTATCTAATTTGCGAAACCAAATAGCCGCCATTTTCCGGTAGGAGGACTGCATCGCGTGAGCGGCTAAAGATGCCCGAATCTCATAGTATGGCACATGCCTGCCTGTTTTGATCATACGGCGCACAGCATCGATGTTTTTGGTGTTCACAGCAGTGGACGGGCGACCATCACGAAATTCGTCACTGAAATTCACACCACCGCGTTTGAATTCTGCAAACCAGCTATAAATAGTCGTCTTGCATGGTGCTTCATCGCCAAAAGCAGTTTGAAGTCGAGCAAAGCTCCACTGAGCTGTTAAATTACACTTAAAGTCGTAGAAAATCATACTACGAAAATGTACATTAGGAATGAATACTAATTATTCGGCCTAAACCAAAGTCGCAAAAGAAAATACACTTTAGTGCGTTTGTAGTTTCAGTGATGTGTGTTATAAACTCTTCCTTTGTGCTCTAGTTTTTTGAGTTCCTTCAACAGTCCTGGTGACAGTCGTAATGAGTAGGGGCCATTTGTGAAGCATTTACGGCACATCATCTATAACCAAATTCCAAAATCCATTTATTTGCCACACACAAAAAAACATAAAACATACAAATGCAAAATCTAACCTATAAATACTTAGTAACTAAAAACACAAAACTATATCTATGGTTACAGATGTGTGGCGAGGATCCTGAGCTCAATATATGCTATACAAACTTAGTTTGCACAGCTCTGATTTGCAGCCTCTCACGTTTGTGTAAGTGTAACAGGCAATTTATGGAACAAAATTAGTACAGACCTTGAATTAAGCTATTTGAGGAGCGCGAAAGTAGAAAAGATAATAAAAAGAAAATAATAATAATAATGGAATTTATACAGTAAATACCGACAGCAATTGTGAAGTTTAAATTTCCTTAGATGGTAAAAAGAGGAATAAAAAAAGAACAGTTATCCTAAGCAGAAACTTACAAAATAAGTACGTCGAAAATTTACAATATATTTTGATGACCCCGGTGATTCAGCATCTTCCTTTTGAGCAGTTAAAAATATTTTTCTCAGTTTGGACTTAAAAGTTAGCTGGGACGTACTTCCATGCAAGGGTGGTGGTAAATCATTCCAGATCTTGGCTGCTTCATGCTTAAAACCCCTCTAAAGCCAGCAATCGTATGACGCGGAATACATAATAATTTGGTGTTCTTACTACGTGTATTTTTACTGTGAGCGTCTCTAAACCAGCTTAATTTGTTATATAAGCATTTTGGACACTGTGTAAAAACAATCTTATGAATAAGACATGCCAAATGCAAAACTCTCCGTTAGTTCAACTTTAGAACGTCATTAGCGTTCAGGAAAGGAGTAACGTGGCCACGCTTAGGTACATTATAGCAAAAACGCACACTAGCGTTTTGTACTCTTTGAATTACGTTTTGAGTGTATTTTTATTTCTGATTTATATTAATGATCTGCCATTCTTTGTTAAGGACCATCGCGAAATAGTGTTGTTTGCTGATGACACATCCTTGATTTTTAAAACAAACAGACATGACAATAATTTAATAATGAGATTTAATATTGAGACATACTCCATCTATATAGCATCCCACATGAGTGCTGCTAAGCTCACCGATCAATGCATTTATGTACAAATTAAAAAGTTTTGGAGAAGTTAATCCCCCCTGCCTAACTCCACATTCCGCAACATATGGAGAAGAGAGAGAATTGCCCCATCTCACTACGTTAGTTTGATTGTGATACCAATATTCAAACAGGCCCCTTAACTCCACCGGCATGCCCGTCGCCCTCAATTTAGCCCATAGGATGTCATATGAGACCAAATCGAAGGCTTTTGAAAGATCAAGGAAGCACGCAAAAATGGGCGTCTTCCTGTCGGTATAGTACTTGACAGTATGCTTCAACGTCACTATAGCGCTTTCCGTAGAAAGTCCTGGTTGAATGCCAAACTGAGCATCATATAGGTGTAGATACGGGTTTAAATATGAGTTTAGCACGCCGTCAAGCACCTTGGCTACGACCGTCACCAAAGAGATTGGCCTATAGTTACTCTTATCTGCCACATCTCCTGTCCTATTTTTGATTACTGGTACCACAATCGTCCTCATGAAATCAAAAGGAAGGTACGAATGTGCCAAACATAAATTAGATAATAGTGCAAGCACTCTCGCTATGTGCGCGCCGGCATACTTTATGCGCTCAATACTGAGGCCATCGTGTCCAGGTGATTTACCTCTTTTGATTCTGCTTATAGCTATACGGATATCTTTAGCTTTAATTAAGGTAACAACCTGTCCACGACCAGCCTCTGTACCGGGCACACCCTGAGACGGCCCAAGAGGCGATTTCACAGCAAAATGCTGCTTAAAAGTATCTGCTATGTCTAGCTCCCTAGTCACGCCATCAACGCTCAAGGGAAGGCCATGCGATCCATGCAACCTATTGGTGGATTTCCAAAATTTCCCAAAGTCAGACCCAGAATGGTGCGAAGCAATTTTGTCCATAATTATTTGTTCCTGATTTTTCTGGCACCACCTAAGTCTGCCCCTGAAAATACGTTTGGCCTGTACCATATCATCATAAATAGGCCCCGATCTAGGACATCCAAAGCATTCCCATTGCATAAACTTCGCTTTAGCTTCCCCGTGAGCGGCACTGACATGTTTGTTCCAACCAGCAACACACTTCTTACGAGAAACCCTTTATATAATATAGAAGTAGGAATATTAAGGAACCAGAAAGTACAGTTTGATAGAGAAGACACTTATGAGAGAATTATTTTTTACGCGTGACACTAAAGTCATCGTGCTTCGAACAAGGAGTATGTTTACGCTCCAACATCCTCCCTTAAACATATCCCCATCATCTTAGAACAGAAGGCCGGCTTTGGGTACGATGTAGCCTCTTTCACAGTCAGCGGATCTCACATAAAATTATTACCTTTCTGGTGCGATCTCAAAGTGATAGTCCGCTCAAAGCTTTCGTTACTATCATAATCATCACTCGTATTATGACAGTAAGTTTCATCATCACTTGCTCTATTCGCGCAACTGTCAAAAGAAGGATCAGGTGATAAAGTAACATTCTGCGTCTCATTCTGTGGATTCTCTCTCTCCTCAGTACACTCATCTGTGTTCGTACTCACGATTTGTGAAGATAGAGGCACGGTACTAAGCCTTGACATTCGTTCAGGGTCCGGTGTGATTTTATTTGCACTCGTGCATTTTTCGATAAATATCACATCCCTGCTGACAACTACCTGTTTAGTGTTTGAGTCAAACAGTCTGTAACCTTTCGTATTTTCGCAATGACCCACGAAAAGTAACTCACGTTTCACCCTCTTTTGCTTTGGTACATAGACCATGGCTTTCATACCAAAGATCTTTAAATGTGAAATATTTGGTTTCTTACCCATCCACATTTAAAACGGTGTTACCTCAGCTAAAAACGTGATGGTGATCTATTGACAACATAGGCAGCAACGGCAACTGCCTCAGCCCAGAATCCTCTCTGCAGTTTTGCCTCAAACAACACGCATTTAGCGCGCTCTACCAGAACGGTACGTTCATGTGTTCTGAAAGTCCGTTTTGTTCTGTCTAGTGTTTGATGCTGGAAGCCGCTAGAAAGTCATAGAATACTTTATTGCAATATTCTTTCCCATTGTGACTTCTCAATACCTTAATTTTCTTATCTAACTCGTTTTCAACTTCGTTTTTGTACTTCTGAAACACAGTTTTTATATCCAACTTGTTCTTCAAAAAATACACATATACTTTTAGCGAATAATCATCTATGAAGGTTATAAAGTACCTCGCACCACCGAGAGATGGTGTCTCCATCGGACCACATAGATCGGAATGTACTATTTCTAGCAATTCATCCGCCCTTGAACGGAAATCTGGTTTGTAAAGAATGCAGAAAACTCGGAAACTTTTACTTCTTGCAAAAGTTTTGTCTTGACAAAATCTGACGATATTTTCATTTCGGAACTTTCCAAGCCCATTATTTATATAAACCCGCCAACATTATCATTCCTAACCACTCGTCATCTAATGTGAATGTGAACCCAATGTTCCTCAGTTTGTGCGCCGTGCCCAATATTTTATTTACGTAATCTTCAACGCTTGGGCAATTACCCAGTGAAATATTAATTAAATCTTTTAATAAGCCAACTCTCCTTGACAGCCCGGAGTCTTCGAACGCATTTCGTAAGTTTACCCATACTTGACGTGCCGTTTCGGCATTTTCAATATGTACGTAGTTTATAGGAACCACCATTGAAATGATTTTCGACTTAGCTTTTACGTCTTTCTTGGCATCGGTTACAGTTTTTGTCGGATCAACATATTCCCACAATTTCTCATGCTCCAGATATGTTTTGACCGCAAATTTCCAAGTTGCGTAATTTTCCCGATCGACTTTTTCTATTTGAAGATTTTGCGACGCCATTTTTCTTTTGTACTTTTATTCTACACAATTTCCATCTCGGTATTAATTCGATTGCTAATAGGTATAAAACGGCCCATAACCTGTGGGAAATAATACGAACTAGCAATGTAAACACGAATATAATATACAAGTAGAAAATATTAAGGAAACAGAAAGTACAGTTTGATAGAGAAGACACTTATGAGAGAATTATTTTTTACGTGTGACACTAAAGCCATCGTGCTTCGAACAAGGAGTATGTTTACGCTCCAACATATGTTTATTATTATTTACGTAAAAATTAAAATAAGCTCTTTTTTTCTCTATCTAATGCTCCATTCACCAAATTTCATTTTCAGACATTTCGTAATTGTTTGTAGTAGCCTCTATGAGCATCAGTATTAGAATTATTCGCTCTAACTAGTGCTTCATCGCGTAAGGACATCATTAACTTTATATTCCAGTAATCCACGGCGTGGGTCTCTTATTAACGCGCAATTAACGCAAAGGTCCATGCTTATCATACAATAATAACAGTAAAGAATTAAAATGTTGGGCTTTCTTATTAACACAACGACAGTTTTCCATCTCCGCCCAAGGAAGTTTTCTTAGACCGTTTTCAAACCCTTCGGGATCAATCGAGTTAAGATTTCTTGTACAAATATACTGTGGCACTTCTTTAGGTTTTTTTATAAAACATTCAGCCACTATCATTGCGTGGTCGCTAAGACAGGCATTATGAAAAATAGACACGTTTCGACATAGATTAGGAGAGCTAGTGATAATAAGGTCTAGTAATGTTGAGGAGGAGTTGGTTACCCAGGTGGGTTACTTTACCAGTTGTTCAAAATGACGTTGGTATAAAAAGGACAATAGCTCTCGCGCTGCGCTAGTGCTCTGTTGTAAACGATCAACATTGAAATCAACCAAAATAAAGATGTGGCCACAATAGTTAAAATCATTTACCGATTCACTTAACTTTTCACTCACTTCACTCTTTCCGTGCGATAGGCAGTGCCAATCGCCACGCAACCCTCGCCAACTAGGGTTAATTCCAACCAAAACTGCTCCAACTCGGCACGAACGTCTCCGGTGGTCGGACCTGGATGTGGTGGGCCCCGCACGCTCAGGCTCCGGCGTATATAGAATCAAAGAAATCTAATTTCTGAGTGTTCGATCTTTGTATTAATAATTATAACAAACTAGTGGAGTAATTTCACAAAAAATAATTGAATATCAATTCAATAAAAATTTAATTAATACAGTTATATAGTGACATCTCTCGCCAGGACTGGTAGCTGTAAAGGTACTAACGGG